TTTAGGGTTCAGGGTTTAGGGATGAGTGTCTTGACGTTTGCGGGATCGTTCTGAAGGTCGTGAGGCAAGGGCCATGAGGAATTCAGACTTTCGTCGGAGAACCTGACCAGACCCTGACAATTTTTGAAAACGTGTCTCCCCTAAACCCTAAACTCTTTGAGAGCCCTAAAAGGGCTGGCTTGAGGATTGAGGGCTTCCACTTGCAGCATTTACTTTCCCGGATGCTTCGTGATTCAATTCTTCAGGTCCTAGAAGTTCGTCCACCGCCCAGCTACCCATTAGGGTTTTGGGGATTAGGGTAGGGTTTAGGGTTATAGGAGTTTAGGGCTTGGGCTTGCACCCTAAACTTGCTTTCCCTTCATACCAGAACGAAATGCTAGCCTTCGGGAGTTCATGATCGGGTATCGTCGCCGAAAACAAGAGCCGAAAGGCTACCCGCTGTACAGCTAAAGGTCACTCGGACTGACGGAGATTAGGGCTTAGGACGTAGTGCGTAATGTAGGGGCCTTAATTGCCTTAATAGAACAGGGTTTTCGGGTAAATTACTCTAGAATTCTGAAAAGGAACCCCAAACGCCCTCTATATTATGGCCCAAGACAAGAGACAAGCTCTACCGGAATCGAAACTTTTCTGCGACTTTCGTTTTTGAAATCTCCGCAGCCTAATGCGGATTTCCTCCCAGACTCTTTAACAACTCATGGAATTCTCTAGCTCTACCAAGATTCCTTCATCAGGGGTCGTTCCTTCGATCGAAGCTCCTTCGACTGTTGGCCCGGATGGCAACTACCAAAAACCAAAACCCAAAGCCCTAAACTCAAATCCCTGCGCCCAAAACCTCAGGCTCAAAACCCTCACCGTACCCCTAAACCCCTAAACCCCTAAACCCTAAACCCCTAAACTCCTCACCGTCGACCTCTGCACTCTCCGCCGAAGTCTTCGTCGCCCTTGCCGCCGCCGTAGCCGCCGTAGCCGCCGGTACCGGTACCGTTGCCTCACCGAAGCTCCCAGGGTCCGAGCTTGCCCGGTCTAAGGTTTAAGGTTTAGGGTTTAGCGTTTAAGGTTTAGGGTTTAGCGTTTAAGGTTTAGGGTTTAGGGTTTAAGGTTTCGGGTTTAGGGTTTAAGGTTTAGGGTTTAGGTGCCCTACTGTTGTTGATATAAATCCTGCATTACCTTAAGGACCCTAAACTTTGGGAATTATGGTATATTCCTCCGTATTATGGGTAATGCCCTAGGTCTCCGGTTGCCTAAACTTTAGGGGTTCAGGTTTAGGGTTCAGGGTTTAGGGTAGATTAAAAATGAGCCCTCGGGCTGAGCTAGTAGAGGGGTTAATTTTGGGGCCTTAATGGTTAGAATAGGGTTCTGGGGCCCCGCAAAATAGTATTGGTCAGTATTTAGGCCCCTATCATACTATAACTATAATAAGGAACCTCCGAAATAGTATTGGTAATCATTAAGGCCTTGACGCAAATAGAAGATACTTTGGCCTTAAAGTAGTCCCTATATTAATATAGGTACTTTGGGGCCAAAGAATGTACTATTTGGGCACATGGACCCTTAGTAAAACCCTAAACCCCTTAACCCTAAACCCCTAAACCCTAAACCCTAAATATTAGAGGGCTGAGGATTTAAGGCTCGGTGCTTCGGCTTCGGCCCGGGACAGGCTGAGGAAGCTGCCGTCCACACTGCACGGGGTTTGGGGTTTGTAGGGCTTAGAGGGTTTATAGGGAATTTAAAGGGTTTAGGACTTCATAGGGTTTAGGGTTTACAGGGTTTGGGGCTAAGGGCTTATAGGGTTTAGGGTCAAAATCGAAGTCGGGTGAATCGACCGAAGCCGTCTTCTTTGCTTGCGGCTTACAGGTGGAGGGCACCAATTAGTCGATGTTGATTGCCCCATGGCCCAACAAGAACAAAACACCCAGGCAGCTTCAATAAGTTAGACTCCGTCACCGTTGAAAAACCCTCCTCAACATGGCTAAGAAATCGGGATAAGTCTGCGGTTTGTTCTTGTGCTTGCATGCGGCTTCCGACGGGGCTTCAAAAGAGCCACACCAGCTCAGGGTAGGGTTTTGGCTTAGCTGTTTCTCTTCTGATTCTGTGCATTGGCCAACGATGAGACGGAACGATATCCGCGAATGCAAACAAGAAAGTAGAGAATGAGCAGACTACAGTAGACTCGGGAACCCTTATGATCATCCAACTGCGAATTCAGAGCCCTTACGAAGCCCTAATCCGTTGAGCTATCCCCTTACTTGCCACTGAGCCGCCCTTAAATTCTGATGTGTCCTCAGAGGCTGCTTGCGGTTTGAGGATTTGGTGTCCTTCGACCTTTCAAATAGGTTCGGGAATCAAGATGTTGCTTTCCTCCATCTTTTTTTGTTCATGGCACTTCATGGCGGTATCTGAAGAGCCATGCTATTGACCGAGCTCTTGATCCAAACTGTCCATCATGCATATTCATGCATCCCCAGCCCATGCGTTGCCCATCTACCTACTGCAACCATGAGAATCACAGTGAGAATGGTGCTGATGGCAGTAAGAGCCATGAACCTGAAACCCTAAATCTGCCTGGACCCTGATAGGCCGACCACATCAAGGACTTATGCAAGGAAATCAAGATAAGGAGTTAGGAACTCTGAAGCAGGGCAGGTTAGCTAATGTAGGGGCCTTAATAACTTGAATGGGGGCGTCGGGGTATACTATGCTACAGTTATAATAAGGACCCCCTCCCAAACAAGTAGTATATGTAGGTCATTGTAAGGCCCTTTTATTAGGGTCCCTAAACCCTATAAACCCTAAAAAGATGCAGTCGCCATCCAAAGCCCCTGGGATGCCACAGACAGCTGAGCCTTCTACCGCACTGCACAGCGCGGATTCGGGTTCAGCGTTCAGGGTTTAGGGTTTAGGGTTCAGGGTTTAGGATTTAGGGTTCAGGGTTTGAGGTTTAGGGTGGTTTTAGGGGCCCGACTCTAAAAAATGAATAGTTTAGGTTTAGGGTTTACACGGCCTGAAGCCCCGATGTCGACCCCAGCGAGGGAGGATCTAGGGTTTAGGGTTTAGGGTTTAGGGTTCGTTAAGCTGCCATAAAACGGCTCCAGATCGCCTCAATCATAGGAACATCCTGTGAAAACCTCACCAACATCCTCGAACACCTTGGTCGAGCCCATTGAAGATTTGGAGCCGTTTGACAAAATTTCCCCAACTTTCCCCACTTTGCCGCCCTGACGCGGCGCAAGGTCCAGGGGTCGCATCGGGGAGCGTGTTGCACATGCTGAGGTCGGCAGTTGCC